CCTCATCACCCCACCCCAGCTGTGGGCTGCATTAGCCCCGGCAGGTGGGGGATGCAGCTGAGGGGTCTGCAGCCTGCCCTTCGGTGCTGTTTCCAGCAGGAGGGGAGGGGGCAGCCTGTCCACCTGCATCCCCTCCACGGCCCTGCTCACTTGTGCTGGGTGGCCCTGGGGCTGGGGACCATAATTTCACCCCATCTCAGGAAAAGCAGCCAGAGTGTAACTGGTGTTGGAGGGGAGGGGATCACAAAGGGGTTTGGTTCGTTTTCATGCCTTCTGGGGACAGGCTCTGACACATCCAAGTGTGTCCCCCAGCAAAGATAGGAAGCTCAGGGCAGATCATCCTCTCTGCTTTCCCTGACTGAGTAATGCAGGCTTGGGTTTTGGGGCAGGGACCCCACTGTGCTGGTACAGGCTGACCACACTGTGTTTGCTGTCAGTCTGCTGGCTGCCCACCTGTGCACTGAGCTCCTCTGTGCTCAGCCTCAGTTGCTTGTGTGATAACTGAGGGGGTCCAAAGCCTTCTTGAAAAGGGTGGGTTTTTCTCTATTCAGGTGGGTGGTGCCTAAAAAGTGGGGTTACAACACAGGGAGGGAAGGAGAATAAAAGCCAGGCATGACTGGGAGCATCCTCCTGGCTTAGCTGCCTCCAGCACAGAAAGAGCACCTTTTGTCTGCGGGATCAGCCTCTCCATTGCACTTCTATGGATGTTGAGGGAGGAAAAGGGGCTCATGACTCTTGAAAAGTAATGGAAAAAGGAAAGGGGCTTGAGAACAGCTTCTTGAGAGGAGATGAGAAGCAGAGTGTAAACCTGCCGAGCTGTAATGATATAGAATAGCCTGTCCAGTGCCCTGCCAGCCCTGTGGCTCCCTAGGCCACGGTGGAGCCAGAGCAGGCTATACTTTGCATACTGGGCTTCCTGGAAAGAAGGATGACACCTGCTGGGGCTGGGGACAGCAGCCTCATCCCATCAGAATATGCTCACAATCTCAGGGCACAAGGTGGCTGGGGAGCACCAGGGTGTGAAGGACATGGCTGCAGGGCTAGAGGTGAGAGGAGCTGGGACTGACCCTCCGCTGCACATCATGCAGTGCGGCCACTCAGGGTAAGCCAGGCAGGAGCTAAAGGGGTGGAAGACAATTCCTGCACTGGTAACACATATTCCCCCTCCTCTCAGGCTAGGATGGCTCCTCAGGTCTAGACAGTGAGGCCAGAGCAGTGCCGGAGATCCCCATCCAAGTGACAGTGGGACTGGGACAGAGGAGCTGCCGCAAGGATGTCTAAAGCCAAGCCCCTCAGCTCCTCTTGCTTCGTGCTTTCCTTTCTCTCCTTGCACTGGGCTTTGCTCCAGCTGGGCCAGGCTTTTCCCAGCACCTCCAACTACCTCCAGCGGGGCTGGCAACGGCTGCTGGAGGAAGGGGAGGGCTGTGCTGAGTGCCGGCCGGAGGAGTGCCCGATGCCGCGTGGGTGCCTGGCTGGCAAGGTGAGGGATGCCTGTGACTGCTGCTGGGAGTGTGCCAACCTGGAGGGACAGATCTGTGACCTGGACAACACCAACCACTTCTACGGCAAGTGTGGGGAGCACCTGGAATGCCAGCTGGATGCTGGGGATTTGCGTCATGGAGAGGTGCCTGAGCCACAATGCACCTGCGTCTCCCACCTGGCCCTCTGTGGCTCTGATGGCAAAACCTACGCCCAGATCTGCAGGTTCCTGGAGGTTGCCAATGCCCACCCTGATGCCAACCTCACTGTGGCCCACGAGGGTCCCTGCGAGTCAGGTAGTGCCCCTGGAGCTGTGGGACAGAGACTTGTACCTCTTGGGAAGAGACAAGCAAGGGGGTCTGGTTTAACTGTTTCACCTGGCAGCAAACCCACAGCATCCACAGGGCTATGGCAGCACCGGAGGCTGCTCCATACAGTGTTGAGTTTCCCCTAGTCCCCCCACCATGCTGCTCTGGGGCAGCCCCTATGGATCCAGCACTTGGAAAGGTCTAGGAGCAGCTTTGCCAAGAGGGAGCGGGGCTTATGAGAAGCAACAAATCCTGCTGGAGCAGATGGGGAAGTTCCAGGGAATTGTTAGCAAAGTCTTGGCTGCAGTGCTGGGTTCATGCTGGCCCGTTGCTCCTGAGAAATGCGTCTGCCTCAAGCAAATGGAAACCTGGGTCGGTTTGACTTGGCTGTGTGATTTCCATTTCCCATTTAAAACTCAGCAGGGAGCTGAGGGGGGACAGACTGGCAGGGAGGCCATGGCCCAGCCTGCCCAGTCCAGCACAGGTCACCCAGTGCTCTCACCACACCCCAAGGGGTGTCAAGGTTGACTTTATTTTATGTAGATCATCATGTTCTTGAGTTTTTTCCCCCACGTAAATTTGGAGGTGGAAGCCCTCCCTTGACACCTGGCTGATGCTACAGGCCAGATCCTGGAGCAGGTGTGGGAAGGAAGGGTAGTTCTCACTCTATCCCTCTAGGGAAGGGATGTGGGACCTGGAGGTGTTGGCTCCATACAGCAGCTGGTGACCTGCTTATTCCCTTCATTGCCGGCATGAGCCCTTTGCCAGAGCAGAGGCCTCATTTGGCTGTAAGCTCATCTATTTCATCCATCCCCACCAGCCTTGGGTTGGATGAGTGCCCATTGGCCTTTCCCTTGCAGGAGGGGTGTGCTCCAACTGCTTAGGAAAGCTCTGATTTGTAGCATTGCTGTTATTGCACTGTTCCTACTGCCTGTGTCCCTGAGCATCACTGAGCAGGCAAGGAAAATGTGGCCAGGAGGGATGACTCCCCTGCCATGGGCTAGGGTGGACTGGGGTGAGAGGTCCCAGTCCCAGCTGTGAGGAGGGGTCATGTCCTGGGTAAAAGTGAGGATCTGCCATGGGTGGGAGGGGAGAGGAGCATGGGAAGGGTCCCAGCATCTCTATGTGAGCCAAATCCTGCCAGCCCCAGAGACCAGCCAAGGAGAGCCCATGGGACCTGCTGTGGGTGGGACCTCTTCTAAGCCCACCTTGCTTTCCTGTCCCCCCTCCTAGAGCCTCAGATCACCTCTCCTCCCTATGACACTTGGAACATCACTGGGCAGGACGTCATCTTTGGCTGTGAGGTCTTTGCCTACCCCATGGCATCCATTGAGTGGAGGAAGGATGGTGTGGAGATGCTGCTGCCTGGAGATGACCCCCACATCTCTGTCCAGGTGAGTGGTGGGCCTAGGGCATTGGATGCAGCCCCAGGTTCTCAGAGCTTGTGGGCAACCAGACCTGAGAGTGGTCATACTCTGGGAATGGCCACACTTGGCTGCCATGGGATGAGAAGGGGTAACTGGAGCCTGCACACCATAAGGACTGGCTGGGCCAGGGCTTGTGTCTCAGTGGCAGGAGGCATCAGTATAGCCCTCTGCTGCAATTTCCTTTAGTAATTTTTTGCACTTGTACTTTTTAGGACCCACAGAGTCCTGCAGCAGGGAGTTTCCCACCTCCCTGCCTTTAGTTTGCTCTGCTTGCTGGCTTCACTTGTAGCCCCGCTGGAGGAGCTGATGGAGAGGACCTCCCAAGTGCCTTCCAGCTTGGGTTATCCTCTGATCCTACCAGCAAACTCAGGCAGTCCCGGACCTTTTTTTCCCATCAGCAGGGCTCCCCTCCCAGGGCTGGCAGGCCCAGGGGTCAGAATCCTGCCTGTGGCCAGCCCCAAATATAGCACCCAGCCAGGCATACCCAGCTATTAGAGAGTGTGGGCAGAGGCACAAGGGCCGTGCACTGCAGCCAGGCACAGACAGGGAGGAAACTATGGTGGGATGGATGCAGGGAGCTGGGGGAGCAGGTGGAATCTGGCACCACTGTGGTGTGATGTGCTGGTCCTCTTCCATCTTTGTGCCCTTCAAACCGCCCCATAGCCTGTTGCAGGGTCCAACCAAGGATCTTCTCCTCAAGTGGGGCTACCCTGCCTGGCTGGAGGAGACTCCACTGTCCTCCACCCCTGGCCACCACACCATAATAACAGCCTGCAAACACAGCTGCACCCCAGCTGGTTCAGGAAAAGTTTATTTATTGCTGGGGACAAACAGAAAATAGCATGGTTGCTGCCAGAGCAATCCTGGGACCTCACTGCCTGCCAAAACAGGGGACACAGGGCTCTGTGGCAGATGCCCTCTTGCTTCTGCCACAAGCGCTAACTGACATTCCCCTTTCTTGCAGTTCAGAGGTGGCCCCCAGAAATATGAAGTGACAGGCTGGCTTCAAATCCAGGGCGTGCGGGTGACGGACGAAGGCACATACCGCTGCTTTGCCAGGAACAGGGTTGGGGAGGTGGTGGCCTTAGCCAGCCTGACCGTCTTCACACCGGGTGAGCACCATGTCCTTGTTCCCACACTCTCAGGGGGATGAGGGAGGGAACATGTGGGCAGGGTGCACTGGTACAGTGGGAGCTGTTGGAGCATAGGGCTGTGCTGAGGATCCCCTAGCAAGCTGCTGTGCATGGATCGGTTTTGGTCCTGGTGTGGAAGGGGACGGGCACTGCAAGGCAGCCATATCACATTGTCCCCACCCTGTCATTTCAGACCAACTCAACCTGACAGACTTTTCCCTGCTGAAGTCCCGCATGACACCCGAGGACTACGGGGAGAGTGAGGAGGACTACTACTAGCCCAGAGATAGGATGTCTGGCTGCAGAGATCACCTTGTCCACAGTGACTGTTCCTGGGGGTTAGGGACATCTCTGGAGCAAGCACCCTCCAACTCAAAACTCCTTCTATGAGCAGTCCTGGCACACCAGCCTGTTTCTTGGGGTGGGGGCAGGGTGACATATCCTTTCCAGGTACTCAGGGAGGGCATACTGGCTGCTGGTGGCACAGGGCTGGCACCAGGGGCAGCTCTGCCTGGAGCAGGTTGAGTCTGACTTCCAGCACTGAGTGGGAGCACGGTGGTAGGTGGGACACTGTGGGGACAGCTATGCCATGTTTGACAAGGACTTGGTGCTGGAGGTGGAGACACCCCCACTGGGAGAGTGAGGCCAGGGCAGGGGCATCATTGCCCTGTGCAAAGCATTTTTGGGGAAGCTGGAGCAAAGGGCTGGGACCTGGCTGAGACAGCTAGTGTGTCACCCCCAGGGCTGATCCATGTCTCTCAAGCACCGAGACAGCCTGGCTTCCCTCCAGGACCAGAGGAACCTGCTGCCAAAACATCCTTCTCTTCTATTTTGTTTTTAACCAGAGAACTAGTGATTTGAGGAAACCAAATACTTGAGGCTTTTTGTGCTGTCTTTTCTCCAGCCCAACCTTCCTTGTGGTCAGAAGAACTTTGGTTATTTTTGAGTGACTTCGTGCTTTTCCTTCCATGAAGCTCTTTACTTGGCTATTTCAGTTAATGTTGGTTAAAATATACATGTAGGTCAAAGCCAAGAGGCCAGCTGACTGTCCTGCACCCACCAAGATGATTACAGGGGTGAGGGAGGGTGCACACACTGTGGATACTACCTTGTCCACTGTGGGGATGCTTGTGTGGAGGAGCCTTCCTGCCCATCTGTGATTCTCACAGCTCGTCCTGGTGTGGGTCCTGCTCTTCTTACCCCACATGGGGATGGAGATGCCTAGCAGATCATTTCCTGTGCAGTGAAGATGCATCAGGATGGGTCACTGCAACCCCATCAGTTTGGATCCCATCCCACTGCTGCCCATTTTCATCTTGGGGGTCATATGTTCTGTGGCACTAGTCACCACCCAGGTGACCACAGTCCTGGTCAGCATGGAGCAGTTCTGTGCCTGTTTGGGGAAGGACAGGGAGGCTCCACTTTCCACTGGAAATGCTGTATTATTTTCTCTTTTTAAATCCTGCCTACCTCCCAGAGGTTGTGATATAGAGCAAACTTTCTTTTGTAGGGAGCATGAGAAGGAAGCCCAGAGCTGTGCCATGCTGCTCATTGCCCAGACAGGGCTGTCAGGGCCCCTCCCCATGAGCTTTCTGGGGCTTGAGCTCACACTCAAGTGATGCTTTACCCCTCAAACCAGCAGCATTTACAGGACTTCTCGGGCTCAAAACATCCCTATGGACCAAACCACTCCTGGTTACTCAGTCCCAGCTCCAGGGAGGTCCAGTGCTGCGGCAGGGAGCCAGATCCCGTGAGGAAGTAGTTGGCCAGTCCCCAGGCAGGAGCAGGCAGGATGTGATGAGGCTGGCAGCTCAGGCGCCGCACTGCTCTTCTTCCCTTGTTTTTTCTTTTCTTTTCTTCCTCTTTCTCTTGAGAGCTGGCTCAGACATCACAATTACGGCACTGAAACCTGAGGAAGCAAATAAAAAGGATTTGTCTGGAGCTGGCAGCAGAGCAAAATTCCTGCAGCCGGTGAGGCTAGGCCAAGTCCTGGCCCCTGCACCACAGCTTGATGGGGCACAGCCGGCAGCACTGCTGCCCTGCCTGCTCTCACTGGTAGCAACCCCCTTCTCAGCCAGGGAAATGCAAAATCAACCCATGCCTCTGTCTCTCCTTTCTTCTAACAGTGGAACAGCATCCTCCTGAGGCTGCTACATCAGAGGGTGTTCATGAAGGAACGGGAACAGAAACGTGATGCTGCCTTTTATTTTGCCTTTTTTCCTTTTATTTTCTTTAAATGTGTAAAATCTGCTTTTGGAGAAGCTGGCCCGTTTTTACCCATCCTGATCCCCTTCCCATTTTGCACACAAATCAGCTGGTGGAACTGGGCCACACTCTGTCTGAGGCTGCTACAGGGAAATCTGAGAGTGTCCCGGAGCTTTAGCAAGTGAGAACTGCTTGCTGGGCTCCCCACTGGTGCCTGGCACTGGCTCCCAGCCAGGGCTACCATGCCAACCCTTCTCACAGCCAGGCTTGCCCTGCCTGTATCGGCACGAATCCAGGTCGTGCTGGGTGTGGATGCAGTGCTGGGCTCGCTTGGGGGTTGTCCAATGGGTTGTGCCTCATCCCTGACTCTCCATATGCTTTGTGGGGCAATGCCCTGCCTGGATGCAGGTGGGGCATCCACATTTTGGTTTCAGTCCTTGCCCACATCAGCTTCACACCTGGTCCCTGTGGTGCCCTGTGGTTACGTGGCAGGGGATGCTGTTGGCTCCTGACCTGCAGGAAGGGCAGTGGGGATGTACTGACTGAGAGAGGGGGGACTTGAGCAAGAGCCCTTGCCCGAAATTAACCAAACTGAGGGCTATGTCTCCTGCTCTCCTCAGATCCCAGTGTGGGAGAGAGCTGTCTGACTTGCAGACAATATTTGGACTCTGCTCCCCACAAGTCGAGGAGCAGCAGGGTGGCTCCAGGGGCATAGAGGTGGCTGGAGTTCCCTCATTCCGGCTCCTGGTCTTGCTATTTCCAGGCACTTAAAAATTAAAGAAGCCAATATTGCTGCACGGCTGGAATTGGTCACTGCCACAGAGTTTAATTGAGGTTATTTGTTGGCTCTAAAAGCATTTGGTCACCTCTGCTGCTGTCTGCTTGACTGTTTCCTGCAGCTCCTGCCCCAAGGAGGGGGTCCACCCAGGCTCTGCTCTCCTCAGCTCCAGGCACCTGGAGAGTCCAAGGGACCTGGACAAACCTGGTGTCCATGTGGCCACAGAGAGTGTACCCCAATAGCATGCAGCATTACCTTTGCTGGACAATTTTTGGGGTGGCTGATTTCTGGGGGCAGAAAGGGCTGTGCAGGTCCCTCCAGCCCAGCTATGTGCACTCAGAGCAGCAGCTTGGTCCAGATGTCAGGCTGATGTCAGGGATGGGGTCAAATGGACTGGGAAGTGCTAATGTGGCCACGGGCATGTACCTGCACTAGAACCTCCTGGCCACCTGGGATGAGCAGGTTGCAGGTACCGCCCAGGGCACCAGAGCCTGGGTACAAAGAAAGGAGGATTGTCCTGTCAGTATCTGAAAGGCTCCGAAGACACACACTAAAGGACCCAAACCCATGTGTTTAAAAACTGCAAACACATGCAGGGCTGGCATTGTCCTGTGACCATCAACCATTTTTGGCCACTCCTGTTGTATACTCACAGATCTGGGTGCTTGGGGGGAAATTCAGGTAAGACAGTCCCCCTACTCCCCACCTCCAAAACAGCTGCTTTCTGCACCAAACCTGCAGTTTGTGATTCACCCAGCCACTGTGCAAGCTGTTGGGACTTCAGCACTTCCCACCACTCCAGCCTTCATTGCAAAGGTGCTATCCAGATCCCCACACCATTCCAGGGATCACCAGGGGCCAGAAGGGCCAGGAGATCATTGGTGGCTGACCCAGAGATGGCCGAGCTGACCCCAATGGTGCCTCCCTCATCCTTGCACCCCCTCAGTGTTGCCCAGAGCTCACCTGGAAGCAGGAATTCCGAGCAGCCACCAAGCCACAGGGGTTTGTGGTCTGCAAAGAAACCTCACCAGATTTAGCAGGCAAATACACTCCAGTAGGAAAACCATGCTGTCCCTGTCCTTCCCTGCCCTTGAGGGCGCTGAGACCTTGCCCCTGTTCGGGCCTGGGCAGGAGGCACATGGAATCATAGAATGGCTTGGGTTGGAAAGGACCTTAGAGATCATCTAGTTCTGCCCCTGCTGCCATGGGCAGAGACACCTTGCACTAGATCAGGTTGCTTGAGGCCCCATCCTGGCAGGTCCCCATCCTTCCGGGGATGGGGAGTCCACAACTTCTCTGGGCAACCTGTGCTAGTGCCTCACCACCCTCACAGGAAAGAATTTCTTCCTAATATCTAGTCCAAGCCTAGCCTCTGTCAGTTTAAAGCCATTCCTTCTTGTCCTATCACTGCATGCCCTCGTCGAAACTCCCTCTCCAGCTCTCTTGTAGCCCGTTTAGCTACTTGAAGATGCTCTGAGGTCTCCCTGGAGCCTTCTTTTCTCGAAGCTGAACAGGCCCAACCCTCACAGCATTTCTTCAGCTCTCTGAGCGTCTTCATGGCCCTCCTCAGGACTCACTCCAACAGGTCCACATTCTTCTTATACTGGGAGCACCGGAGCTAGACACAGCCACTTCGGGTGGGTTCTCACAAGAGCAGGGTAGAGGGGCAGAATTACCTCCCTCGACCTCCTTGTCACACTTCTTGTGGTGCATCTGTGCCTCCACCCCATGGTCCAGGTTTGGACCACCGCCGTGATTAGCCGCTAAACAGTGCCATCTCCTGGCAAAGACACCGGCCACGCCGAGCCCTGCCACCTCACTGGGCAGCCGGCGAAGGCACGTGTGGCCTTGGGCACCCTGGAACGTCCCAACCCCACAAATCCAGCCCTGTCTGCTTCACGCCCTCCCCCTGCTCCTGGCAGCACCTCTGCCTTGCTGGGAGAAGTGATACCATTGCAAGGAACATGGGTACGAAACTGTGTCTTGGGAAAATCACCAAAGCCAGAGCATATGCTTGACACCAGCTTTGGGTGGCTGTGGCAGGCATGGCTGGGGTAGGGCAGAGCCTGGAGATGTTCAGACACAGTCCTTAGGTATCTGCTTTAAACTGGGACTGCAAAGGGGTCAACACCCCTCGTGTCAACCCTGACGGTCCCCTTGTGCAGTGGGCACCTCCATGGAAGATTGATGGCTTCTGGCAGGGGCTTGTGCAGCCTTGACTAACCACTGGTTGTGCCTGGATGGCAGCTTGCAGCACTGTAACCTCTCTGCAAATGGGTAAACTGAGGCACAGAGC